TGATTCAAACTTTTAGCTATTTCCATTAACATTCTTTAAAAAAATATAGAAAGTAACTCTCTATGCTTATCTGACTGTATATTATTCTGTAGCGCCTAAACTGCTGCACCCATTTTTATTTACTAGTGAATTTTCTCATATAATTCAAAATTTACAGTGTAGGTATAGTTTATCACCTAGATTAATATAAGTTTAGGAAACTTTTGATCCTGGAAAAAAATGTGCCAGTGGGATATTCAAAAAACTTAAGTTTGACACGAATGAAGTCTTTTGCGCAGGCTAGAAAAGTATAAGCTATTACATATTTGTTATGCACACATCAAACTATCATATTATAGTGTCAGTACGCAAATCCCATAAATTAAGTAGGTCACGCATATAATTGCGACGTTCGTATTCCTTTGCATTGTGTCAGTGTCCACTGACGTTTGTAATGATGTGTACATAATGCATGCAGATGTTGTGTACACATCACCTTGTATGTGACGTGCAGCTAAAGCAGAAAGTCATTTATTGTCGCTTGTTAAAATTCTTATATCTACTATAACTTCTTTTCTTAGAAGTTCTGGAGTTTTTTTTATTAAAACTGGAGTTGAGAAATTTGCTAGGACAGTGGTTAAAGAAATTGCTGAGCAAACTTAAAAAATAATTTCTCCCAGGCATCAAGATAAGATGAAATTGTTCTTAATATGCAAAATAGGTGAAGAGACTTAGGTATGTACTGTAACGCCCGTTGCGTTCCGGCCTCCTTGCTTGTGTAAACTCATTGCTTATGTAATGCCTACGGCTGGCAGTTGCATTAAAAGTAAGTGTCCTTATTTAAAGATTCGAATGTAAGAACCTTCTGTCTCACATAGAACATTCTAGAGATTGAATTCAAGCGCAGACTCGATCAGTTGACTATAAATAAAAGATAATGTGTATTCCTGAGTTCGATAAACCAAATGAAAAATCGCAGTTGCTAATATTTTATTACCATTTGTGTCACACCCCGAGGATCTCCTATTTGGAGGTCACTTCAGTACTATATCTACTTTTCCATCCTAACGTACTACCAGGCCTACCCTTCTAAAATTTTAATAGGATCAGAGCAAACGAGGCGGTTATGATTGTACACAGCGCGAAATACATACAGTCAATAAATTCCGTTCAAGTTCCAAAAACAATTAGGTACAACAATGATTTACTCACAATAACTCGGTGGCATAAATCATAAGTATCAAACACAGGAGCTGGCGTGGCGTTGAGAACTAAGCTGCGCTATTAATTCTGTAAACAATGTAATGTGGATCCGACCGCTGACAAATTGGAAAGTATTGGTCCACCTTAAAGCCTATATCAGTCAAAGTCTAGACGTAATAGCCAGATACAAGCGGTATAAAGCTCTGTGAAATCTACACGTGTCGACATAAGTAGTAGGGGAAAAATCGACCAACATGAAAAGGAGGTGTTACGTGTCGGGATGGAATTCGAAAATATAATGACAGTTTTTTATTCACCATGCAATGCACACAGTTCTTTACTAAACACACAACACTGTTCTCACTATGTACTGTTATAAGTTCTTGTACAATCAGACACGAACACTTTACTTGCACTTTAATCGCCTCGGTAATTGTTCCGAAATCACTGTCGAAACTCAACTGTCAGCGCCCCTATATACGCCAATCGATCCATTCGAGAAAGATCCAGTTCAGTGAGAGTACAATAGCATCGGCGAGTACTTATTCGTAGATAGCGCACATTGGTTGTAAATAAGTAGGGAAATGTCATTGCACTTTCACCCTTACGCCGCACAGCTAAGGCTCATATTCGAATGGACCGCACAACTCGGCCTTCATCGAGGTCATTCACATAGCGAGCCGTGACGTTCTGGTAATTCTTTTTCCAGTATGTCCGTGGTTTTTGGTTCCAAAGCGATCGTGACAGGAGAAGCTAACGATTTCATACAAAGTTAGGCCCAAAATGTAACAAGATTAATATGGCATCATTTAAAAGAATATTTTTTATGAAACCATCACTGTAAATCGTGTTACTTTTGCCAATTTGAGAACAGAGTTATCAGATTTTAAGTTAAAGAGAAAGGCAAAGAATTCCAAGTCCATACAGGCCGATACTCGAGCATAGTTTTTTAAATATCGAAACATATAATAAGCGGCATTTTATGAAATACATACAAGTCACTGTTCATAATTACTTGGTTATAATTAAAAGTTAAGTTAAATGGTTATTTATATTTGCAGTTGCAGTTGTGTGAATAAATCTCATTTATCGATACTTATTTCCGATCATCTGTTTTATTAACATTGTTTTCATATTCCTCCAATTTGAAATGTTTTCTTAACATCGTTTTCATACTCCGCCCACAGAAAGAAAACTGGACGGTTATTTTTTTTTTGAGATTGATTGATATGCTATAGAATAAATCTCATTTTACTATTTTATCTACATCGGGCTCACGATTTTTCGTCTCCTTTCCTGACAGACCGACAGTCGCAAGTAGGCACTTGTTGGGTATAGAAACTTAAATAGAAATCTTAGCTTAAGCTTTGTACCAAGGTTGTTTTTATACTGTAGGGCCGTAGGTAACAAACGAACCCTCATTAGGTCTTGTGTCTGTTAGCTTAGACAATCTTAATTTTAACATGGTGCAAAATGTAATGTGGTAGTAAAAGTTAAGAGCATGACGAAAATGTTAAGGATCATTCGTTATAAGACTTTTTAACCAAAATTCTATTCGAAATTTAAATATTTGTTTCTTAGGTTTTCACGCAAATCACTCATAAAATAAAACAAGTTTCAACGGGTTAGATGCCGCGCGGCGCATGCCGTAGTCACGGTAATATTATCTATACAGTATTGTGACTCCGCCCTGTCCTTGAAAATAAATGCCTACGGCCGAGCGCTGCGTTAGCACGCGGTAGGGCCGCCCGCCTACAGTATTTTATGTAGTTTAGTTTTTAACGCGAGTGTAATGTTATAGTTAATAATTGGAGGTATGTTGTAAAAACTCATCAACGGTTACCGTGAGAAATAAAGATAGTCTGCATCCTACAACTGTCGTTTCAATACACGTCACATGGCGCAGCCGGGTTTAGCAAAAAATATATTATTTTTAGTGCGTATATAATGGAAAGCATTTTATCTCCTCCTTAGCCATTTACCTACGATGGTAATTCGGTCGACTTACTATCTGGCAGCCTGCATGAGATGTGGGTAAAGTGGAAGAGAAGCTACGAAATTTATATTAAAGCGTGTGAGATCAACAAAAAGGCGGCAGATGTGCAGTATAATATCTTTTTGCACGTAATCGGTGAACAATGTCGGGAAATCTTATATCAAGGTGGAGAAAACATTACAACTGTTGCAGGTGCGTTGCACAAATTGGACGATCAATTTAAATGTAAGAAAAATGTAACCGTCGAGCGTCATAAATTTTTTTCAAGAGAACAGAGAGAAGGTGAAACCATTGAACAGTACGTGTTCGAGTTACGCAGATTATCTCAATCGTGTGATTTTAATACTATGAACGAAGAGTTAATAAAAGACAGGCTGGTCTGCGGGGTAACTAGTGCGAACATTCGAGAACGTTTATTACGTGAAGACGATTTAACACTAAAAAAGGCTTTGGAGATATGTAGGACTGTCAGACCGCCTGATAGGTGGGGATATACGCATATTATACAAAGATAATTTATAACACGATTATACGCAAGGTTTGAAATTAAAGCATGTTAAGAAACGCAGGGACAAAGGTCATGGTAAAAATAATAATAATAATAATAGTTTTAAAATAAAAACAATATCATAAACTCAGCATTTATTTAATTCAGTCCAGTAATAAGATTTTCATAGTTACAATTTCCCATTTTAAAAAGGTTGTTATTGGTAGATAGAAAATTGTATCTGTTAATATTTAAATGAATATTATACAGTTTCTGTATATAGATAATTATTATTATAGTGTAAGAAGAAAATAATTTGAAAAATATGGTTCTGTACAGTTTTGTATAGGAAAATATAAAAAAAAAAGAAAAGAAAACGCATATTGTACAAAGGTAATTTATAATATGATTGTGCGCATGTTTTTTTTTTCGTTTTGTTAAGGAGGATGATGTAATGTTATAGTTAATAATTGGAGGTATGTTGTAAAAACTGATCAACGGTTACCGTGAGAAATAAAGATAGTCTGCATCCTACAACTGTCGTTTCAATACACGTTACATGTAGGTAGATTACTCGTTTGTCTCTTTTTTCATCCTAACCACTTATTTAATATTATTCCAGATATTTTGCCCGATGGAAAAACCGAAATACCTAAATATTAGAAACAAATTACGTACTAGTAGATAGGTATAAAAAAATATTCTATAAAGGTAAGACACCTTTCCAATATTTCAGGTAATTTAAAAAATGATATCTCTGGGTGTGTTATTGAAGAGTTCAAGCAACCAAAAACAGCAATTGTGCTGTTGTACGATATTGATCGTCGTTTGTTCTTTTCCATACTAAATTATGTAGGTATCTACTTAATTAAATCAAATATTTACAATACAAAACGCACGTTTAAGCACGGCTAACTGCATAAAAAACAATTCACACCGTTCGGTCGTCGTTGCGGCGCGGCGGCGCATTCGCGACTGGGTGCCCGCCGAGAGCCCCTCGAACTCGAGTGGCGTAGGTATGACTCGCTTTCCGACCGTTTGTATGAAGATAGAATACTGTATGATATTATTACCGTGCCGTAGTGCCGTCGATTCAATCAATAAGGTTTTTGAATTATAGTCCGCTGATAGACGGACAGACAAATGAAGCCTCCTGTTGTCATCCTTTGGGTTAGGAACCCTATATATCGAACACAGCACAATAACATTTTTACATCATATTTTTAGGAAATAACTACCTTTAATTGGTCGTGTTGATGTCGTTACGCTCTAGTAATTGACCAAAAACATCGATGTTATCGAAAATTATGATTTATAAGATTTTATCTGTTAGCCAGCGAGCGGTAGAATGTTCTGTGTCACGGAGTTAATATACCGTAAATACTTTATTGCGCCGAACGCGTTCCAAAAATGTTTAGTTTATTATTTCGAATTGTTTTCTTACACATTTTACTGTACCAAGTTTCGGCTGAACACGATCATGGTAAGCAAATGTAAATCTGGGGACTTACTTGTCACCTTTGTGTACCATTGGTTTGTAATGTAGCACTCGAGGCAATCACGTTACATTACGGCGACACAAACTGACTTACAAGTCATACAAGCAAACGGTACACCGTTTGCTTGTAATGTCCCATTCGAGCTCTCCGCTTAAGTATGCTCCAGTTTTACTCAAAATGGCAGACGAGGATATGTGTGCTTCATTCATTTACTAAGTTATTGTTATTTCACTGACTTCTAATGTAACACTCAAAGGTATTATCGAAACAACCGACAGTCGAGTGAAGCACGTGACGCTCGCCGCAAATGATACATTACAAACTAATGTTACAAGTCAGTCTTTGGTTTGATTTACAAAACTTTATATATTATACCGAAATGTTACAATGCATAGTTTTAAACTTTCATGGTCACTAACAATATAGTAATATATGTTATTAACGGGATTGTTACCATGTACCTTGTTTTTAGCGAGTTTCCGATATATATCAGTTACTCCGTGATCATGGCGCTTGCAACAGTGCCGAATTATTGGAAACTCGCTAAAAACAAGGTACATGGTAACAATCCCGTTAATAAAATATAATACTACAAAATTTTACAAGTCAGTCTTTGGTTTGAATTACAAAACTTGATATATTCAACCAAATGTTACAAGTCAGTCTCCAGTTTTATGTGATTGATCCACAGTTTGTTTAAAAGACATCTGTGTACTCGTTTAAAACTTTTGGATTCGAAATTGCTTACATCATGTGAGTTAATTGCTAAAAAACTTTGATGTATGTATCAGTTTTAATTAAATTAAGAATAAAAAGTGTACTACTGATGCATCGACCTTTTTTATTAATTTATTATTATGTAATCATTTTTTATTTATGCAATTTTCTCTGTTTTTTTTTATTTAAATACATTTAATGTCCTATTTTTTATTGAACTTTATTTGATTTTCTTTTTTAATACACAGCTGCTCAAAGCTGTACTAGTTGTTAGTGAAAACTTTGTTGATGTATGTTTTTTCTATATTTGTTAATGTAAATGTAATAAAATATTGTTTGTTTCCCAAATAACAAATAAAAAATTACAGGATCGTGAATTTACAATCAAATGTAGAAAGGTCTTTAATTTGATTCGTTTTGACTACTTTTTATAAAAAAAGTATTTTGCAGAGATAAATATCGTTTTAAATAGAGCAGGGTTATTTTCTTTAGGTTATTCGTTTTCATACTTAATATTATTATTTAAAGACAAACGTACTGCATCTAAACTGCACAGTGGCTATTGCAGTTAACCCAGACAGTTAGAAACTGTAAAAGTTGCTACGCAGTCATTTATCAGTTTCGACTACTCCATTAAAACTCCATTCAGCACGCATTTTATACGTTGTAGTATATCTAAATCCTATAATCTCTTATCTATTAGACAAGTCCGTCCGTCCGTCTGTGGTGCTGTTTCAGCGGCCAAACCGTAAGAGATAGATAAAGAGAATATTTAAGTTATAAGTTAAGAATAGTCTGATAAGACTACAAACCGGATTTGAGTAACGTAGCACTTCCAGTTTTCGAGAAATCATGAATTTCAAACGAAACCACACAAAATTTCTGAAGTTCTCAATTAAATATATATATTTTTTTAAAATCAGGTTTTGGTGAACATTTGGTTCACTGGTTTGCTAGTAAGTCCTTAATGTGCATTATATAATGTTTCGCATTTGAATACATCGTAATGCTATGTCCAAATTCAAACAGATTTTTATATTACGAGTAAGACCCGAAACTCTACAAGGTGACATGATTTCTTACTCAGCCTATGAAATTGCGTCTACTAGCTATGTACATCTGTCATGTTAGGCTTCAGACGAGACACGAATATAAATTATTCAGTTGGAATAAATTCTTAGCATGTGTAAGCACAGAATAAATAATAGTGAAATGTCACTTTATCACATCAAATGAGATTTCGGTGTTAGAAACACTTTGCGTATTTTCACACTGTTACAATATCTCTCAGACAAAAACCATAAAAGCTTACTTTAAGCAGTGGTTTTGAATACTATTACAGATGAAAGGATTTCAAATTACGTATTAAAATATTGACGATTTGAGCGTATATTACTTTGCATTTCATACATTACAGAAAAGATACCAAAAGAGAGAGTATTAGGAATTATGATCGAGTAGAGCACTTTTCGACATCCAAAAATATAATTGAGATAACAGAACAGATTATATAAAAAGCTGGTGTCATATGGCGGTCAAAAAAGTGCAAGTGAATTGAGACTCTATTATTTTTTATTTAAAATTTGTTAAAAAGCAATTGGACGATAGAGAGAAGGTCAAATATTTATAGATAGTACTGACAACATCATTGCTTTTAAATTCAGGGCGGGAGTGAAAATTGATATTAGTATGTAGTTGGTGATGTCTTGGGATATTCACAGTCACATCTAGAGTTTCAGATATTTATTCTCTATTTGTGTTAACAGTATTACTGACTCATAGAGGATCTCAAAATAATAATGTATGTATACCTAACAACTAAAAGTCTTAGTGTCAACTTGCGGTTTCTCTCAAAAGGGTCATTTTATCTCGCATGAAACAGAAACGAAGTGGATTTGCTTGAAAGCCTCCTCTCACTGTTTTGCAGGCCCAAGTTGTTTGTGCATGGGAATAAAAATGACAGCTTTGGGAATGCTTTTGCGCGTCCATTGGGTTATAGAGCAAGTAACCACTCCGTTCTAAATTGGTTGACTAAACTGCTGCGTGGAACACTGAGGGAGCGTCATTCACTTGTTTTTTTTTTGTTTGAATTTATTCCAATCTGTAGCTACTATTTTATGAAGGTTGGAAATCGAAATTGATTTCCAACCTTCATAAAATAGTATATGTAGTATAGAAAATAGTAGCAGCCCGTACTGTTTTTTATGTAGGGTAGACTGTATAAATATTGTCCCTTTAAGTGGAATTCTACATTTGTTTGTCTGTTGTAATTCATTATTAGGTTACTATTGAATATGATTCCACAATGCTATGAAATAGGGGTTAAGTTTCAAAATAAAAAGACTTTAAAATGCTTTATATTAATATGTATTAAAATATTTTAAAATCAACAAAACTTTTAAATGCATAGTGATTGGCATAGCAAAGAATGGCATACAAAACCCTTAATTGCCTTTTCGTAGCATGTGCGAACCGGTGACTGTCAATCCTTGTTTTTTCAAAGAAATATAATTGCATAACTTACATCTTCGCTGAAATTTGAAAAATTATCATCAAAGAATAATAAATTGTGATCAACATTTTTTAGTCATAAATTTTTTCATATTTTAAACTTACTTCTTAAAATCAATCATTGTGGATGGGCCAACATTAGTACAGGTTTCCCTAAAGCTGTAATTCTAACTTGAAGGGAACCGTACCCTTTCTTAATATGAAAAAAAAAACCTTTAGACAGGTTATCTAGCCCGCTTGCGCCAAAGTTCTTAAATCAAAATTAAAAGCTCATGATGTTTAAGCCTCATTATAGCCCTATTTGACTTTATAAAATTGACAAACATGGAATGATGTAACATTATCAGGATGATTCATGCCTTAATGTGTGTGGTAGCTTACAAGTCGAAGATATAAAAATTATCTTTAATAAAGAGTATGTTGCATTTGCCTTCTGTGAATTTCTCTAAAACCTTTTTGCAGAAAGCCCCTTTGCAGCAGTTGTGAAGAAGGCCCTCATTAGCACAGCACGCATGTGTATGGACAAAATCAATGCGACAGAAAAGGATTTGGAAGATCTCCGTGCCGACCCTCCGTTCCCAGAAAAGGCGGCATGTATTGTGAAATGTTTACTCGAAAAGGTATTCAGTACAGTTAAAAATAGTACAAAGTGAAATTAAATCGCACTGAAAAAAACTTGGTCAGCATCTCTGTTCAGCAGTTTAGCGTAAAATCATAAAATAGATGAACTGAGTTTCTTTTACATTTAACTAATCATCATCATCATCAGCAGCATATTGACGTCCCCAGTAATGGGGCTAAGACCTTCACTATGGATAGAGCAGGGAGGCTGGGCCTTGACCTACCACGCGGGCCTAGTATGGATGGATGGGTGCCAACCACTGAATTGCAGGCCTAATGCGCTCATCACATGCGCCATCGAGCTCCTTTCAAAAATTGCCAAATAATTCTCTTATTCTCAATGCATAGTGTGCATTGACGATACGAAAAATATTATGTTTATCGCAATAGCAAGTTACAATTTAGTTATGAGGACTTACCGTTTTCCCCAAAAGTTTAAGGGTATATAAATTTCTGAAACCCTTCTCTAAATCTAAATCATTTAAACCACGCAAATGATGCTCTCTACGAATATACTTAAGACGTAACATTATTTAAACTTAAACAAGGATTAGAGCGTTAAGATAGCGCGGTCTTGTGCTACAACTTAAGGCTATTTAGTGAAAACGACTTTCGAAAAACTTCTTCAAACTAGTTAAAAATCAATACGCAACAGGGTTTTCTTAATTAAACATTACTTCTGTTCTGCAATCATCAATGATGTTCTATAAAAACAAACTCCACTTTACCGAAGAATCCACCGGTTTGATTTAAAAATTTGAAATGCGTGTTCTAATTTTTAATCACACAGCGGATTCCGAAGTTATAAGTCAGGTTCTTAGAGATTAGCAATTCTAAAGTGCTGGTGGGAAAATAATGATGGTATTCATAAGAGTAACTTTATATTTTCGACTTGAACGAGATATTCTTTAAATAAAACTAGTTTTAACGGGTTAATGCACGAAACTTTATTCATTTATTGACGCTTCGCAGCCTTTTCAGGTCTGCTTCGTCAGAATACTGATTTAAAAAAAAACCTGCGAAACGTCAATAAATAAATGAAGTTTCGTGCATTAACCCGTTTCAACCAGTTTTATTTAATGAGTGATGTGCGTGAAAACTTAAAAAACTAAGATATTCTTATTTTTTATTTTACTTTACATAATATGTAAATTGGTCATATTAAACAAATTTATTAATCAAATCTTAAATGTTTAAAAAACTCGTATTCTGCATATTTTAATGGAAGCTAGTGACGTAATTTTTTTATTCCATTTCCGTTCTCTCCTTTGAAGCTTTATTCAAGTCGCATAATCTTTTTGAATGGCTCAACAGCCTTTATTACTTGCTACCACTCCTGACTAGAGAAAGCAAAAACCTATCTCAGTTTATGAAAATGCTTTCGCAAGCTAAGCTCACAGTGTAATTTTTGCCTTCTTAATAAAGGTCGTAGCAGACATATCAACACGGAAAGGGATCGACACCGACTCGCCTTTCGGCATGCCTTCAAATAATCGTCCACACACGAGACATGCTTACGATAGGACGTAAGCATGCTTTGTAAGCGGATAAGCAGCTCCAGCAGTTTGGATCGGGTATTGCTAGGCGACACCGCGCTTATCGGCTGGTTGACCGCTGGTTGCTAGACTAGGCGGCACAAGTTCGATCATTTATAGATAAAGCAATGAGTGGTTACTTTTGCTATGGACAGCTTATTCGGCTACGCAGGCCGCGAAAGGGGAGTGAACGACGAGACGTAAGCTAGGCTACGGAGAGACGTAAGCGAAGCTACGGAGAGACGTAAGCTAGGCTGCGGAGAGACTTAAGCTAGGCTACGGAGAGACGTAAGCTAGGCTACGGAGAGACGTAAGCTAGGCTACGGAGAGACGTAAGCTAGGCTGCGGAGAGACGTAAGCTAGGCTGCGGAGAGACGTATGCTGGGGTATAGAGAGACGTAAGCTGGGGTATGGAGAGATGACCACGCACGTTCTCAAGCTTATCCCGAGGCGAGGCGATAACGTTACGAGTGCGATTAGTGTGCGTTGCAGTAGGGAGTTTCATACAAAGAATTCTGAACGGCTCGAGTTGATACGGTGACCATTCCTTTCCGAGTTGATATGTCTACCACGACCATAAATAAACATTGTTGTTCTTGTTTGTTTCAGATTGGCGTCATTAAGCACAATAAATATTCCAAGAGCGGCTTCATAGACATAGTGACACCGCTAGTACTCAAGAATAAAAAGAAAATGGCACATATGAAAACAGTTTCTGAGAACTGCGATAAAGAGGCGAGTTATTTTTTACCACCCGATTCTATGTGACGTGTAGTTTTTCTACTGTGGCCGCTTGTGGAGTGTTGAGTGACGTCATGCAATAATAGGGTGTGCAGAGAATAAAGTGGTTGCCTAGCTTTTAGTGTTAAAGGTATCAATTCATAATAAGTGAAGGCGTGCAGTCCAGAGTATATAATTTTACTTGAATACGTCATAAGTGGAAAGGAGGTTTATGGTTTAGAGGGTATTTGTTTGTTACACCGTAGCTTCCAAACTACTGGACTAATTTTGACGAATGAGATAATACTGGATAATTTGGGTTGATCTCAGGTTGTCCAGGTCGCAGTGTGACTAGCCTCTATTAATGACTATAATGCAAAATGGTTAGATCTAATCTTTGTTTCATTAAGTGTTTGTCATTTGTTATAGTGTCGTTACGTTCGATGGGCGATTCCAAAGGTTTTGTAGCACTAGGTACAGAGAAATGTGTATCCGCTTGGTCAAGTATCTATACCAAAACGTGTTTGTAATTTTTTATAATGCCGTTATGTCCTGTGGGCTAGTCCAAAGGTTCCGTAGTACTAGGTACAGAGAAATGTGTATCCGCTTGGTGAAGTATCTATACCAAACAACGATATTAAATAGCCTAAATAGATACACCAACACGAACAAAATCGTCCCCGTAACATGTCCAAAAGGTACATTGAACGATCCACGGAGCTCCGTAAGATGATCGCGTAGTCAAAACCAATATAAGGCATTAATTAAATATTGAAAGTAACCTTTAATACATACTGTATAAGGTCTTAAATAAAAAGCATGCGTCAAGGACTTCTGACAGTTCGAAATGCAAGCTCGTAAAATTTTACGATTTATTGCCATATGCGGAAGAATTTAGGCCTTAGTTCTTTGACTCTACGCGCAATTCTGAACGCGCTGTTAGCAATATAGCAGGCACTGACCGCGAGGAAAAGAGACGGCTATATGGCGACGTATAACCAACCATGCATTTGAATATCACAAATATTTTATGTTAAATCAGTTTATAGTAAGTATTAGATCAAAATTTACTTCAAATGCGTTAAATTAACAAACATTGACCGTCATTTAACAACAACCGTCACGACACTTTTCGTACTCTTAGTATTATTTTCGTATTTTCTCGCGGAGCTCTGTGGCATGTTGACTTTGTAACGCTTGGTCGAGTATCTATACCAAAACGACTCCGTGCTCTCATTTATTACATGCACTCGGTAAAGAATCTGTACAGATCGGTACACAAATAGAAACGAGCCCGCACAGACCTAGTGACTAAGGCTCACTTATACTTATTGTGTCACAATTATTTTTTTTGCATTCTGCTAAGAAGATGTTTAAGAATACGACAAACATTTTCAAAGACCTCATGGTGCAGTAGCACCAATAAGTTATAAAAGGCAGCTCTAGCACCAATATTTTTTGTAAATTCATCATCATCAACCTATTAATGACCCCACTGCGGGGGCACAGGTCTTCCCTATGAATGGAATAGGAAGACTGGGTCATGACTCATGACCCACGATGCAGGCCCAGTGTGGATTGGTGAGTGCTAACGACTGCAGATGTAATCGGGACCAACACCTTAACGTGCCCTCTGAAGCACGGAGGAGCATGAAATAATATGTTTTTGGACACCTATTTAATGACCGACCACTCCGATCGCAGTTCAAACGCGCTATCTACTCGTGCCATCGATATTTTCGCTTTTTTAAATTCAAAATAGCAAATACGAGTAACCATTAGAAGTGCCTGCATTATACTTACGTACCTATCACTAGACATTTTCGTTGTTTGCCATCTATACATGTAAATAAAATGGTAGGAAAGTCAAAACTGTACATTGAATATTTTCTTTAAAGAATACTTGGGGTGTGATCTACAGTCGATATCGAAGCCAAAAATAAGAAACGAACGAATATTATTAAGTCGGGTCAACATAATGAAAGACCCGACTTCTTAATAATATTCGTGCCAAATTTGAAGTAAATCCATGCAGTACTTTTTGAGTTTATCCATTTTAAACAAAATATCTAAAAACTATATTTTTGGCTAGATATTATCACGCTATCACCTACGGGGAACGAGCAGTGAACCCTTATTTCTAAATAACTCCACGCGTACGAAGTCGCGGGCAGCCGCTAGTTTAAAAATAAAGGTGACCGTATATCATGCAAAGTAAATAAAGCACATTGTTACCAGGGTAGGGACTTAGTTCTGGACTCAGAAAAACCTCTCAAATTAAACCCTTCTCAGATAAAACCCTTGTTAACCTCGACGTTCAGATTTATTAAGGCTTTCTTTGTCTGTCACTGTTCCTGTTTAAACTCTTTCAGATACCCTGTTATTAATTGGTTTTTACGTTACTTTGTCAACATCAAAATATTTAATTTTCAACACCAAAAACTTTGTAACAAAATTTTAAAACCGACGACATAAATATAAAACCACTAAAAATTTAGAAATAATCCATTCTGTTCACTCAAATAAATATTTAGTGTCGGTGCCATGCCAACCCAAGTGTACTGTTCACATTTGAGGAGTTTTGTATTTTGTCTCTGAAAGCATTTATCAGATCTGCATCAAATTTATATGGAATCATCTCGTTAATAAACTCTTCCAAACAAAAAAACGAACCAAGTGCGAGTCGGACTCGCCCATGAAGGAATCCGTAGCAACAAGTAACATAATACGTGTTCAAAAAATAAGGAAAATTTTCAATTTTCTCATATAAATATTTATTTATTCATCAATTTCTGTTTTATCTTCTTCGAAATAGTCCCTCTCAGATATAAATACACTGGTGCCAACGTTTTTTCCAATCCTCAAAGCAATTCTGATATGCACTTTTTGGTATGTCCTTGAATTCCCTCAGCGATTCGGTTTTTATCTCCTCAATCGTCGCAAAACGCTGTCATTGCATGGGTCTCTTCAATCTTAGGAACAGCAAAAAGTCGCAGGGGCAAAATCCGGTGAATACGGTGGCTGAGGCATGATAACGGTGTTGTTTTTGGCATAATAATCAACAATTTTGGAACGAACTTCGCTGCCACACACTTCATGCCCAAAATTTCCGAAAAGATTGCATGGCATGAGCCAACCGATATACCAATATTCTCAGCAAGCAGCAAATATAGTAAAATAATAACCACTGTTTCTACCAAATAAACAAAAAAAAATGTTTTGTATGAATGTACATGTAAATGTAACTCTTTTTGTGCAATTTTAATTTAAACTGAACCAAAAAAACAGCCACAGGGATGAAAAAACTTTTGTTTTCCGAATGAATATAAGACCCTTGTATTCTTTTGTAACATAAAACGTACACTACAACACCGTATGAAGTGAGATTTACTGTGATCCGGACGCACCTATTTCACTTTTTATACCTTCACCTCTCGCTCCATTCACACACAAGCATCAGTTTATGCTTATTTTCACGAGGCTTTTTTGAAAAACCCACCTTTCATTGAGTAACAGAAATGAGCAGAAAACAGCTGAACGGATCGAAGTAAATTAGTTTTTACCTTCCAAAGAAATCGCCGCTTAGCTCACTTTTCATCGGCAAAAGTGCTTGTAGTGACTTCAACGTTTGAATGGAACTTGTTCCACCGCCTTGACGATGAATGAAAAGCAAGTCGAGCTGGAAACTGGAAATGAGTTGGCGAGCAGCGGGAAGCGGGTGTGTAGTTCCAGTTTTATCGGAGGGTTATAAGCGAGTGTGAGAGTACAACGGGCGATTACTCGCGCTCTAGTCCTGAGCACGCGCACGCGTTTTGACGACCAAGCGAGCATCGTTGTGAGAGTATTATCTTTGATAGCTCTTGTTGTTCAGCGACAAACTAGTGAGGTGAGTTTTCACTTGCAAGGGAACAATCAGCTATCAGTTGTTAATATCGATGAGTCCTAAGTACAAGGGCTAACGTAGCATTTTGTTCATTTTGGTTTTATGGTGGTATATGATCACATATGTTAGTGTTATAAATGATATTCATTGAAAAAAAAGACCAAATTTATTATTGCGAACACGATTTTTTGATGTAGTAAAAGGGCTTATCTGTCACACCTTTAAACGTATAAGGGCCTAAACGGTAGTTCGAGACTTTCAATTGACGACTCTGTATGAAACAAAGCAGGGAGATGAAAATAACCCTTGCTGAGTTTCTTGCCGGTTCTTCTCAGTACAAGATCTCCCGCCGTAGATTCACGAAGCGATGGCGTAGCGTTTGACTTTCACAAGAGCTTGTAACAGCCTAGACTGAATAAATGAGTTTGAGTTTGAGTTGAATACGAGGGGAGTTCCCGGAATTTTATTTGAATTATCAGCCAATCTGTTAGTAATACCGGATTCACTAGAAGCGATTTTAGTTGATCAACTGATAAGTCACATGCGATTTGAACCGTCTGAACTATTGAACAGACTTTCAATCAAATTGAAGAAAATCAATTTAACAATAATGTCGATCAACTTAAATATCCTCGTGTGAATCTGGTAGTGACAGTAGTTTTTTTATTTATTTCTTATTTATTTATTTATTTCAAGTAACAAAGACTCATATTATACATAATACATTAATTAACTATTTATTATTATTGATTTATTAAATTAAAATTATTTCTGAACAGTCACTAATAATCAAAATTGAATTGCAACATTTAAAATACATAATATGTCAATAAAATTAAATAAAACTTATAAAACTAAACAAACATAACACAATGTCATTAAATCGCTCTGCCACAGTGTGCAATGTGCAGTCTACAGCAGTGGTTAATATATGGGCAGTCAAGCCTGTCTCCTAGCACATCTAGCATGCTATTGGCACTCCCACGCACTCGTTGCACCAACGAAGCGCCCCGCTTGCGCATTATAGCATAAAAACAATGTAATGTAGTAGTGTTAGTGATTAAAAATAAATAATATGTCAGACTTTGATGATGGAAATTTGGTTGGCATTTGCTATCTTTGGAACCAACAAAATTGCTTTGAAGGGATCTTATGAAATTGCTAGCTGTTTACGATATAATAACATAGAAAATAAAAAAAGGCTATGATGACTTTAGTTTATTTAACTAGTTTTTTTCGGATAACAGATAATGGCGAATATGCAATAAAAGCAAACCAAAATATATTTCGAATATGCACTGAAACATTCACGAAGAGTATAATTATTATAAAAACATGCAAAGTGCCATTAACTACAGATCTATAGTTATAAAAATATATCATTTTAAAAACTTCAGTAGACTCTCATGAAAAGTCATGATTTTGCACTTGAGCCCTTATACATGGGACCCATCGATTTTGTTTACACGGAATGTATATTTATAGTACCTTTCTTGAGCAATATGGCAGGAAGTTAGTCGCTTCCTCACCTGCGGTGAGACAACTGACTAAATGAAATCTGTATTCAGTTCATTTCCGTTTAGGTTCATGTTGCCATTTTATTTACGATAATACAGTAAAATACCATGTTTTGACAAGCATTTAGGTTAATTGAAATCTTTAAGTATTTCCCTTAGTCCTCTTTCATCGATTCCATCACTAAACTTAAGTATCGTAATAAAATGGCCTAAACAGTCAAATTCAATGGCTGAGTACTAAATAATGACATGAAACAGAGCGGATGGTAAATGTTGCACGTTATGATTACGATACAGATCAAAGTGGCGTTCCGTTCTCTCAACTCAGATTTATCTTTATGAAACATTGTTATGTTGTTTGTGCCTTGGTACCTATGTAGAATAATATTAAAGGTATTTTGTTCCGTTATGCCGACTCCAGCTGTAAGTTTGACAAATAAAGGTAGCTTTCCAATTACAGCATTACAGCGCATTATGCGGCATAATGCTTAACGTTCAGTGTTTTAACTACAGCAACGCTTCGCACAATCGAGCACTCTCAAAAGTAATGCTTTCGTGAGATGCGTGCAATCGTACCAACTCATAGACAGAAAATTAACAAGTGTTTTTTCTTTAAGTTGGCATTGATCGAAACGTTTTATTTATATGTTATCGTTAGTAATATTATTTATTGTTGAAAAACAATTAAAAATTTGGTTTCATTATAGTTTTTTTAAATAATCAAAGTCAATTCAAACTGTGTTGAAAAATTCAATATAAATATGGATGAAGGTACAAACATTGACTTTTTTTTTAACACTGAACTTAGCGCACTCTGCTGGTGCATTTGAAAACTAATTCACGTTCCAATTAAACATCAGCATAATTCGGCATTGTACGCCACTGAGTCGCATTATGCTCTATAATTGGAAAACCACCAATGACTCTCGCAAATAAATACATACACATCGTAATTAATATTATATACGTAATATTTAAATCGTGGCATATCCTCTTCATTTCATATGTGTACTTTGAGGAGTTCGATGGCGCAAGTGGTAAGCACATTCGGCTGCGATCGTTGAAGTTAAGCAACTTTGGCAGTGATCGGTCATTGAATGGGTGACCAAAAACTTATTATCTCAAGCTCCTCCGTGCTTCGGAAGGCACGTTAAGCTGTTTGTCCCGGTTGCATCTGCACTCTTTGGCACCCACCAATCCACACGGACCTGCGTAGTGGGTCATGGCCCAGTTTCCCTATTCCATCCATAGGGAAGGCCTGTGACCCAGCAGTGGGGACATTAATAGGCTGATGATGATGATGATGCTCTTCAGTTTACGTGATCACATCAAACAAAATTTTCTTTTTCCAGAAAAGTATGGACAAATCTTCTTATTGGCTATGGTAATATATTTTTTTTTTGCAGATAAACCATCAAGAAACGACCCCGTGTCATCTCGGAAACGAAGTAACAACCTGTATCTTCAAATACGCTCCCGAGTTACATTTCAAATCGAAACCCTGAATCTGAATATAATGAATACTTAAAAAATATTATTTTCTTTTACTAACTTTAGTATTTCGAATGATATCGAAATGAGTTTCTTAATATAACTATTCAGTGTAGGCTTTTCCTGTTTCATTTGTAGTTTTCTATTAAAACATTTCTATTAATATAAGATAAGAAGGGCACACCGAGTTTACCACCCTCCTGGGGTAACAATCTCCACCTTACTGAACAATGTAAGTATCCAATGACACTAATGACTTCAGAAAGACTGAATTTCTTTGAATGACAAAATTAGATAGATATTTCTTTTTCAAAGTCTTGTTCGTTAATGTTAGGGCTAGATAAGGGCATCGCCAAAGAAATAAAAATACCATCAAACCTGTAGAGGTTTATTAATACCTACATCTAACCCTCCGCGTTAAAAGCTTGGTGTAAAAATCGTAGATCCTGATTTAATTAATAAAATCTGAATCGGCAAAATGTAGCGTGTGCTAGGTGTGTCAAACGTGTCTGTGATATCCATTGTGCGATCGATCCCTTGAATTGACATAACAAGATTATGGTATAAGGAAAGGGCACATTATGTCGGGTCGCAGTTAAAAAATCCACTCAAATCGCATAGAGTGCGATTGTTCATATAATATACATAATTATATGAACAGTCGCACTCTATGCCGGGGTGCCTCATAATCCGCCGTGGAGCTTGGTTGATGCGATACCGCCCCACCCCACTGCGCCGCGCTGTGCGCGCAGTGCATACAATTGCACGGACGTCTGGCAAATACACTGTACCCAATTTTTATTTAATTTTATTTATTAGCTCACAAAACAAGTTACAATTAAAATAACATTATAAAATTTTATGGGCTGAAGTTTACAAAGAAAAAACGAATTTCAACAATTAAACACAACAAAAAGAAAACACTTAAACAAAAGTACAAATTAACTTATTTTTCTTGTTAATGAATCCGTCAAAGGGCTGCGACCCGACCCGACTAATGTACTAAGTAAACATTTTGTGATGCATTGCGGCCCGACGTAAAATGCACGATCTTATAATGGATTGACATACCCTGTATAAAACACTAATGCTAGTACATCCGCGCAAAGCCGGGGCAGATCGCTAGTATTGGAATAAGAAGAAAATATATTGTCGATCGAAGCTATATTTGTCACTGATTTCCAAAGCCAGCGTTGATAGGTACCTGCCAAACCGCACCTCCAAACCGCTGTAACAAATCTTCACTGTATGGAAATAAAAAACCGCGTGTTCGTGAAACTTTTATGGCTCTCAATCCCTTTTTTCAATCAACGATTCCATTTCGGTATTTCGCGTGTGGTTTCGGCGTACGAGTGGGTGGGAACGAAGGTTTTTCTTATAACCAGCCTGTTATAATTAAAGGAATAGAGTCTATATGAAAATCTTGATGCTGTGCGGGTTTGGCGCGTTCGGTCTGCGATCGTTGAAGTTAAACACACGTTCGAATTTGGTCCGGCAGACCAAATCCGCCTTCTAAATCCGTACTCGCTACAGACGACCGAATCGGAAAGTTGCTTCACGTACGCCATCAAGTGCACACGGTTGTCATCATATCCTTGGACACGAAAATTATGGTGGTAGGGGCAACATTAGCAGCAACGTTTCAGCCACCACGTAAAAAGCGGAAAAAAGAAGAAACAGTATTTAAGAGAACGTGACGAATTTAGTCATATAAAATTGATAAGAAATTTAGATGAAGATGATTATAAAATATATCTGCAAATGAACCGCGAAACCTTTGAAAATTTATTAAATTTCCTCCATAATGTAAAATGAGCGCATGCGCGGCCGTCTTGGCGTTCCGAACACGACTAGTCGTAGTTTGTTCGGCCCAACCGTCCACACGTCCAGATTCAGTACGGAGTAAACCATATCCCTTGTGCAAACTAGCAGACCGAGGCGGACTAAATGAATAATAATTATGTTCGCAGGACTGCTCTACAGACGGTCAGATTTGGTTCGGATACGAACCTAAAACTAAATATAAAGTACTACTACAAGACACTATTTAGTGTACACTACCATAACACCAGCTCTAAAGGTTATTTAAAATTCTTGTTCTATATAAAATAAATTAGTTACTTTATGAACTATCATTATGAAGTTTCGCTTAGTGTGGGCACTATTTTAATGATTTTTTTTCTAATTTATATTATTAAGTTGCTTAACAATAAGCCGTTTTAAGTTTGGCCTGTTGTACACTAGTTTGATCGTCATGCCAGCGTACACCGTGAAAACGGACATTATTTCCTCATGCTTGATGTGGTTTACGTTAGCTTGTCGGACATCATCAGTTATTGAGGAATCTCCGCTGATTCAGCGGTGATCACCGGAGAATGCATAATAATAATCGGTGAATTCAATCGGTTGTCAAAATTCCGCTCAGGTGAAAACTTCTAATGCTATAAAAATAAATGTTCTCAGATAACGTTGTATTGTGATTAACATGAAGTTTACGAAAAAAAAAAGACGGTTTAAAAGTGAATATTGGGTTCACCTCTATAAATCGGATCGAGCGGACAACGCGAACTAATAAAGTTCGCTGTGTGCGTTGCTGCGCCTAGTCACATGAGTCCTGATCTTTTTTATTCTGGGACACCAGTGTACTTTTGCTCTGTCTGGTTTCTCAGTGACCTCGGTTGTTCGGGGGACTTATTGTACGCGGGACTTTTAATGTGGGCATTACTCTATGCAGTTGTCAGCGATCTATTTTGGCGGACAAATAATTCCGAGGACTTAAATGACTAGGTGGTAAACATAGGAATTTATTACTTCCATTAAAGGCTTCTTCTTTTTTTTCTAAGCAAAATAGCGGTCAAAGTGTAGTCTTATAATAAAGTTATAATTCCATAGTAAATAATTGAAATTGTGTATCATATTCGTGACAAGCATATCAATCAAGAACAAAGTATTATTCTAAAGAAAAAGTGGAAAATCTGACTTTGTAAGACATTTATATCGTCTCTGCTAACGAATTCCCAAAAACACCAAGAGTACCTCTATCTATCGACATTCCTGATAAAAGAAACAAAATTTTGATCAAGAAGTTTAATTTTGGAAGATTGGTTCAAATTTCGACATCAAATAGATATTTCTCCGAGTACTCAAACGAATCGTAGTTCAAATATTAGCCATGAATGAATACCTTGATTCTGAGGAAGCTATTACATTTTATTCTGTTCAAATCAAATCTCTTCTTTGACGGCGATAACAACTCAAACTGAAGGCATCGTTTGAGTAATCAACGGCTGGGTCTCTAATATTGAATTAAATAATGTCGTATCAACTAAATTTTCTTATATATATTATAACAAGTTGACTTGAGTACCTACTCAGGACTACAACTTATTGTTGTGAATTTTATTTGAAATTTAATTTGATATTGTTAATAGAAGATTGTATTTTTTGGTATTTTTTAAAGAAATTGTTTGCTATTTTAGTTAAAAAAGGTTTTATCAGTATGAGGAGCAATATCATATTACTATGTATATGTCATCATGCTGCTAGCCGGCATAATCTGTTTTACATTTTATAAAATAACCAAGCCTCATATTATATGAACTGTATGTAATACTACTACGATTACGATGAAGTAAGAAGGCGGTACGAAATTATCTATATCTGGTACATCATGGAACGTACATTAAGCACAATCCGTTCAATTAGCAATTGTAGATACCATTTCACAGCTCTTTTCATCCTTATAGTCATCAATTTCAGCATACTACCATTATTTATCCGTACTTTATATTATTCATTCCTGGAAACGCACATATTCAACGACATCTATCACTATTTACGATTTTGTAAATAAGCATCAGAATGATAATACTAAAAATTGCTTTTCCAGAGTGCTAGATACTTACCGGCATTTCTCCATATCCTTTTATTTATTTAAAGTTGCGTTGTAATTTATTTATTCTCATATTTTACTATGCTTTTCATTCTTTTTATTAATATTTATGTATACATAATTATGACTACCAATGACACGGATATTCTTTCCGACTGGCTGGTTTATGCCTAACCCACTTCCACACAATAACTATTTTATCCTTTTTTGGCTAATTCGAACCTTATCCAAATTCAAATGATTCCGGACCTATAAAAGGCCGAGCCGCCCGGATTCGCTAAGAATTTCTTCGGCAAAAGTTGCCAATGACATTTTTGTTTGCTCGCTCGAAGAAAAATTTACTAAAAAAATATTAAAAGCCCTTGTTCCGGGCCGGCTGCCCCGGGACTCAAGCAAAGGTCTCAAAGCCTTACGGCAACCTTTTGGCTTTATAACGTCCTGCTTTTTACTCTACGTGTTTCGTCATCGGCGGACACCTATTGCCGCCCGGTCTCCAGCTGCATCATCCTAACAGAAGCGCCTGCTGACCACCAGCAGCGCCGACCGAGAAACAGGAGCTCCGCCGGATCAGGAGCGCTGCCGCCTACTCGTAGCGCCGCCGTTTACCTACAGCACGACCTCCCAACCCTCAAACCCAGGCCTCAAGTCTCATTATGAAGATAGTCGACGACCCACGCCCACTACACTTCACCCTGCATACCCCATACTACACATCCTCTGTATTCCCTTTTTCTGTAAATATTTCTGATCTTGTAATATATATTCTATAACCTTTTTTTGTACTCCTTACTTATCCTTTTTTTACCCAATTTATTTTGTTGCTTCAACAATCAGGTATCTTGCAACCGGTCGAGTCTCCACTAACTACGGTATGGTGGAGTAATTTTTCCATGAATAGTTCATAAAAAATATCACTGCTGTTAGTCTCATTGTGACAATCGTAAGTCAAGTTAATTTGAGACAAAAACAAAAAGAAATGCTTTATTAATAATGTAATATCTCATTCTATATAACTTTGTAGAAACTCGAAAATTGCAGAAGACTGGTAATTTGGATTTTTTTAGTGTCACCGCTCACAAGACCGGGTTACATTAGACGCTGGAGCCACCCACGCCTCGTCGCAAGATGTTCACTTGTGGTCGATGAGCACACTCAAGTAGTCGTCGCGTTGTCAAACAGCTGATTTCGGTTAGGCCACGAGTGGACGCCTCGTTGTCAACCATTGCACGGCAGGTGGTCGACGGGTGAACGCCGCGCCACCGGTTCG